AATCTCCATTTAAAAACCAGAAAAATCCATTTTTTTTTCTGTGACTTACCAAGCATGGCAGCATCCTATAGTGAGAGGCGCCGTTGCTGCTCTCTTCTTCTTACCGCAGTTTTTGCCTCTCGGCCAATCAGCAGCGGGGCGGGGGGGGGCGGGCAAGTAATGTTGCTGATTGACCAAGAGGCAAAAACTGTGGCAAAAAGAAGAAAGCAGCAATACTGCTGCGTGCTGTGAGATGCCGCTCGCTAGGGGACACCTCCGTGCTTTTGGTACTCGTGGAAAACCACGGATTCTGTAGTTTTCTGTGGCCAATGGAAAACTAGGATCCGCAGTCATGATTCCCAATTAGGGTCCTGGAAGTTAAAAGTGGGATTGTGAGCCTCCTGGAGACCCTAATCTCCCAACCCCACCATTAACATGAATGCCCATAATTCACAGGGGTCAAGGACCCCCCCTTGCTTCAGCAGTTCAGTGTTGACCATCTCTGTGTGCCAACTTTTACCTCAAGATAAGTGAAAGTTAAAATGGAACAACGTAGCCATATCTCATTCCTTAATGGACAATTATGGTCATATGCGCCGGTGGGGGGGTGTCTTATGAAATTATTAGGAACCCATCTGTTTAAGGCACATCCATTGTGGGACCGGAAGGTGACATTGCCACAAGGTGGAACTGAACTGAAGAACAAGCACCTGGATCAAAAGAGAGCAAGGACCAACCCAAATGCCCATGTTCCCTAGGGCAGAACAGAACCAAAGAATGGCCTGGAAGGAGGTCACATACTTACCTGCGGCTCAAGGCAAAATTATCCCTGCCTAAATCATCTTATCCAAGTGGTTGTCTAACCTGCACCTACAAACTTCCAAGGATAGAAAAATCTACAACCTCTCCAAATAATTTGTTCAAATACTTAACTACACTCATAAAGAGAAAGTCATCCCTAATCTCCCACCTAAATCTCCTTTGTTGCAATTTCAACACATTACTTTTTGCCCTGTCCCTTGTGGAGAAAATAATTTAAAAAAACAAAACAAAACACCCCAAAGAACAATTGAACATCATCCTCTTCTTTGTAACAATCCTTTTTGTAGTGGGAGAGTGTAATCAAATCACCCCTCAGTCTTCTCTTCTCCAGACTCAACAATCCCAGTTCTTCCAGAAGGCCATGGCTCTGTCAGATTGTCCATGCAGAATTCGGCACAACCAGTGCAACAGAACATGCCAAGAGCTGCAGGGAAACATGTTGCTCATTCCCACAGCCTGGGGTAAAGTATCTCCTGGGCATGTTTCATACTGTCATTTAAGAGCAGAACAGGCTGGACTTTGTGCAGTGACAGTAAACCCAGCCTCAGAGGTCTCGCTTGCCTTCCAAGCAGTGCCTGGGTAAAGTTTTAAGCAGATCTACCCCCTAGAATTGCACTGGGTATTTGTGTAGCAATGTCTTTTCTGCCCCTTCTTTGAGGGCTTGACATATTCTGTGGTCCCAGCCAGGTCCCTGGTAGGATGGAAGGGACCCAAGCAGGAGCCTCTCTGTGCCATTCTTGCATCCCTTCTACACTTAAATTCCTCTTTCTATCAAGGCCTCACCCACTACCACTTCATTACAGTCAAACATACATGGGCTTCCTGTGAGCCTCACAGAAGCATTCTGCTGGGCACTCTTCTCCAGCACTTCTTCCTCTCCCTGAAGAAATCTGCCCTAGAGCCAGAGTCCACGTAACAAAAGGGGAGGGAAATGAGTCAGTCCCCTTGTGCAATCTCCTGGCACCTGGCTGCTGGATTCCAGAAGCAGCTCCATCCACTTGCTTTATAACACACTATTTGTTTTGTTTGTGCAGACTAAGGAGACTAGTACGAACACCCAATGCTATCAAGTCTTAACCTGTTTCCAGGACCAACTCCCACTAAAAAATGCCTAACTCTTCCAACCATGAAGAGCAAGGTGGTAGCAAGAATACCACCTCTTTGGCCACTTACCAATACAGCATGGCTCAGAATGTTAACTGCTGAACTTCCCTCAAAACTGGGATGCTGTCCTTACTGAGTCCCTCCCCATGGCAAGACCACACATCCAAGTGCCCCCTTGAGGTGAGCACTGCCTAGCCAGACCAAAGGGATTCCCAGGAACTCCGGTGAAGTCCCAGGGACTCACATTTCCAAAAGTCTGCACATAAAGCTTTGAGCATGTACCAGCTGGCATATACCCAGCATACAGACCACAGTGACCAAAATGAGTGGTTTAACTTCTCACTTGCATAACTCCAGAAAAAAATAAAGCCAAGAGAAGTGGGGAAACAGAGAGGGCAGGAAGGGAGCCACAGCAGCACAGTAGTAGAATGAAAGAAATGACAAATAAGACAAGACTCATCCCTTCTGACAGATTGTTACCAGCATATGGGTACACAAAAGACAGCAAGAGCTAACATCCATTAACATGAACTGGGTGGGCACATGACTGGTTTTGCCCTCAACATAAGTTTGTCGTCTAGAGTACATTTTTTATGATAATTTTCTACTGTCCTGGGTTCACAGGCAGAGAGGTACTCAAAAATACAAGGAAGGAGCCAAGAGTTGGTAAAATTCTCTCTTAATAAAGCAATAGCCAAGGCATTGTAAAGGGGATACAGGCAAACATGGACTGGAGTGCTGGCCAGAGGGTCGAAGCCAGGCAGTCACAGATTCTAATCCTGATCCTGACAATGATTTACTGAGTGGGTCCTGGGAAAGTCAGATCCATGCCTTCCACCTCAGCTTTCCCCTTCTGGACAATGGAAGTGGTGAGGAAGGTACTTACTTGGGCTTTGGGAGGACTTGTCAATGATCTTGTAAGGCATTAAAGTGCTAGTTTAATGCCAAGCACCAGGGACTTGCTAATACAGTAGGCTGGGACCCGCTCAGAAAAATAAAAGCAGCAGAGAGAGGGCACAATTATATGCTAAAACCCTGCCAGGCAGTGATGAAACTGAAGAGATTATGCAATCCCAGCTCATGTATACTTAATTGTGTAAAACAATATTAAACCAAACCTCAACAGCAGTGGGTGGAGCTTGGACAGAAGAGAAGGATTTAGGCCTGGAAAACTATAAGAAGGTGGAAAGAAAGCCACTCCAGTATAGCATAAAATGCAAGCGTGCTCATTGGCCAGAAGTCTTACTGTAAGTTCACCCTTCATGGGGGTGAGTGTGCTATGCAACAAGCTCAGTTCAGAGACACTGTAATGCTAGATAATCATTAGAGAGTCTGCTGTAACAGGAACACCACTTTATACTCCCTCTGTGCTAATTGGAGATGGGTAAATTATTAATCTTTTAGTCAGCCACCCAAGAGAAACAAATCAGAAGAAATTCATTCTAAGGGCAACAAAGCCTTTTGCTTCATTTTTAGGTATTTCCACAAGGAAAAAGGCTCTGAGGAGATCTCAAGAACTTCAAATTCCTAAACACTAGGGAA